AAACATTGTAGGATCGCTTTTATTTGAAATGTCCAGAATAGGTAAATCTATAGAGACAGAAAGTAAATTACTGGTTGCCTAGGATTTGTGAGAAAGGGAGAACAAGAGGGTAAGTGGGAGAGGACTGGGTACCAGGTTCCTTTGAGGGTGACAAGAGTGTTGTAAAATTGATTGTGATGACAGTTGCACTCATGTCCCTCATATGGAGTCTTGCTCTTTTGAACTCACAAGTAGATGCCTTGCCTGTTGGTGAACATCATTGCATTGCAGTTTTCACAAAGCTGTCCCTGCTCTGACTAGGTTGTGAACACTACATGAGGAAGAGGCCAAATCGCTATCCAATCCCCTTCTTCTGTGAAAGGGCTAGCTGTGCCGTGTGCCAAGTTTCCTTGAAACATTTGTTCTCACATGGTCTTTTCCACCTTGTCACATACCATCGCTCATTTTTGAAAATGTGGGCTTTTTTTAAAGACACAGCCTTCCTAGGTTGTGTTCATTCAGTGTTTCTTTTACATATTTTCAAATGTATGAGTGTCATAAACAAAATGTCTAATCTCTTCCTAGCTAACCTTACCTTTTAATCACAATGGATTTCATCCTTGGGTGGACTTGATTCTGGCTGCAATTTATTGCTTTGGGACTGTTTCAAATTGCAATGGGAAAATTTGTTGGCCCTGCTGATCAAGGTCACCAAAATTCAACATGCAGGACATAAGTACTTATTTCACCAGCCTCAGCCAAACAGACTTCACATAGAGACTCCAAAGAGCAAAGAAAGAAATTAAGGAAATGCCGTTAGAACCATGGCAAAGACCCCAACGCAAAGAAGCAAGCCATGGCAAATAAGATAAATGCATCCTTATCTCTTTGTCTATTGAAGCCAAAGCTGACGTAAGACATGATGGTCAGGTTTTTAACCCAGATCCAGATGCATCTTTGCTGCCTTTTTCTGCCTTTGTCTTTCCACTTAGCAGTGGCTTGAAGTCCTCCCTCAACAACCCCGCCCAACACTCTGGCTCAATGACCTTCAGTCAACTGTCTTTGTTCATCTTCCCTCTGCTGGTTAACACTGCCTGCATGTGCTTTCCAGCTGTCTGGCCCATCTTGCTAAACACTGCTGCATTGTGGGAAATAACCTCATAGAAAAATTTATCTATATAAAAGTCTAAGCGACTGACCTATCGTTCGACCATTCAACCGTTCGACCGTTCAACTGGTAGCTATGATGTGCACTGACCACCAGGGGGGCAGATGCTCAATGCACAGGCATGGAAACATGGAACATACTGATGAATCTCAGAGGGAAGCGGGGAGGGGAGAGGGCGGGAAAAGATTAACCGAAGATCTTATATAAATACTAGAGGCCTGGTGCACAGATTCATGCACCAGTGGGATCCCTAGCCTGGCCTGCAAGGAACGGGCCAAAACCGGCAATCCAACATCCCCCGAGGGGTCCTGGATTGCAAGAAGGCACAGGCCAGGCCGAGGGACCCCACAGTGCACAAATCCATGCACCGGGCCTCTAGTCCTATATAATAAAGGGTAATATGCAAATTGACTGGTCTCTCTGATGCGCACTGACCACCAGGGGGCAGACACTCAATGCAGGAGCTGCCCCCTGGAGGTCAATGTGCTCCCACAGGGGAGCTCCACTCAGCCACAAGCCAGGCTGACTCTGTGAGAGCAGCAGCTGTGGCCAGAGCCTCTCCTGCCTCCTCGGCAGCACTAAGGATGTTCGTGGGAAGTGGGCCTAAGTCAGCAGGTGGACATCCCCTGAGGGGTCCCAGACTGCGAGAGGGATGTCTGACTGCCAGCTTAGGCCCAGGGAGTGGGCCTAAGCCGGGAGGTGGACATCCCCCGAGGGGTCCCGGACTGCAAGAGGGTTCAGGCCACACTGAGGGATCCCCCTGAGTGCAGGAATCCATGCACTGGGCCTCTAGTTCTAGTATAATAGGTGTTTGTATCAAAACAAGGAGTCCTACAAGCAAGCATCTATCACCCAAAAGGACGAATGACAACAGCAGAATTTGAAGCACTGAGGCAGGCCTAGGGAAGAGAGATGTCCTGAATGTGGGGGTGGGGTGGCTATTCTGAAGTGATTTGATAATGATCCTCTGTCCACCCTCGAATTGTACATTTCTCTATGATCATTACTGTCATTTACCCAGGGGTTTATTTTTAACCTATGTCTTGTTTAGCCTTTCTTTAATGCTGTCACATTTACATAAAGCATCGCTTAAACCAAGTCATAACAGCCCGGAAAGATGAAAAAGTAGGATGATACAGTGACTGGAAAACAGCTAGTAACTGGCTTTAACTTGGGTTCATTGGAGGTCAAGTTCGGTGTTCCTTCCTAGTGGACACAAAAGCAAACTTGAATTCAGCAAGGGAACCCAACAGCGTGCCTGCTAGCTTGCATTTCAGAAGCAGCCCTTAGGAGTCTTGAGTCACTGAGACATTGATTTCCCAGGCTGGGGTTTTTAAGGAGTTTGGGATGCACCACATAGCAATGCATAGGGATCATCGGTTAGATATTCATTTGCAAAGTGAATTGTGTTTACTTACCCGGATAACCAATAGCAAAGACTGCAGTTTTCTGCTTTTCTTCACCTCATAGATTTTTGCATCAAGATGGCAACAGTGTGAAAAGTCAATAACGTGGGAACGTTTCAAGTTACATTTCAGAGACTCGAAAGGGAGTTTTTATTGTCTTTTAACTTCTCTTATTTTTATTCTGCAATGTGGGCACCTCCCCAAATACGGGAAAGATGCCACGGATCCTATCATTCATTCTCACCCTTTAAACATGAGAGTGTGTGCTTATTTTGAAACATCAGCATGTTGGATGGTAATAGTTAACTGTTTTAGTCCCTTTCTTCCCCTCTCCCCACTTTACATGTGATACATAAGTAAGAATAGGGAAGCTCTTCCCCAGCCTTTCCATTAACTGTCCATGACCTTGACCTTTGCTGGATGTGGATTTCTAAGTACAGTCCACAATAACTCTTAAATATACCCGCAGCCGGGTCTGGCCTCCGGAAGCTTGGCCACTGGCTTGTGGTCAGCAGGCTATTTCCCTGTTTTCCTCCCCATTTTTTTCTTTTTTGCTACTTTTTGTGCATACTTTTTGGTTCAGATACTTATTCACATCTCTCTGATAAGCACAGTTTGATTGGTAGCTAATTGTAGCAGCAGATTTTCATTATTGATGAGTGTCATTGTCAGAATCCATTTGGAAGTCTGGCCGAGATGTAGCCGATTCCAGCTTCTGATATGACCGCAGAGTCAAGCGATTAACCACACGGTTCAAATGTGCAGAGGCCTGGAGGGCGCTCATGTCTTTACCACCAAATAGTTACTGTATTGTGCTTCAGGTTTGGTTCATTTTTCTAGAAGATTCTACATATTATTTTATCACAAATACTACATAATACCTTAATATACAGTGGTGGGCAAAAAAGTAGGTTTATGTTTGTGAGTATGTGAAGTTTACAGAGTTTATTCTTGTATTATTATTTATTAATTGTTGTATTATTTGTTGGTACTACAACTGCAAACCTACTTTTGCAATCCCTGTATAATCTGTTATTTCTCACACCAGCCAATTAACTTTAAGAAATAGCAGTAGGAAGATGAAATCTATGAGTACTATAAATGCTCACTATTCTTAAACGGTTTGTATTATGTGGCAGCATTTAAATCAGTCTTTATGTACTATTTTTTTTCCATGTATTTTGATTCTGGGTGGCTAAGTCTCAGGCTGTCCCATGCCAGCAATGGACATGGACGAGCCACCTGGACCTACATCCTACAACCAAACACTTCTCTGTCTTCTCATCCATAGTATCATAAACATGCGAAATTTCAAAAATAAATTCAGAACTGGAAACGTCATTAATAACAGCGGTTATTTGAAAGTGTCACCTAATTTAAACACTTTTGCTTTAACTTATTGCAGTGTCAGGAGTTTTAATATGCTCCATTTATTAGTAAAGGCCTGCAGGGTTCACGGCCATTTATTCTGCAGGGGACTTGATTTTATCATTAATTTTTAAGGACGTAATGCTCTCGGTACATGTTCAGAGTGCACTTTATTTGCAAGAACTGGTTTATTCTAATCAATACAGATGTCCAGGTGTTGATTAAAGCAAAACATTTAGAAAGTCGGATGTGGGCAAATCTTCAAGACATTATACTCCGAAATTGAGTATATGTACACCCATGATATATGCTAGTATTGGTGGTGAACTTAAGGTGAGAAGGAACACTAAAGACTGACCAAGCCCCCTTTTCTACTTATTCTTTTTTTTAAATATATTTTTATTGATTTCAGAGAGGAAGGGAGAAGGATAGAAAGATAGAAACATCAATGATGAGAGAGAATCATCGATCGGCTGCCTCCTGCATGCCCCCCACTGGGGATCGAGCCCGCAACCCAGGCATGTGCCCTTGGCAGGAATCGAACCTAGGACCCTTCAGTCCACAGGCCGACGCTCTATCCACTGAGCCAAACCAGCTAGGGCTCTACTTATTCTTGAGGACAATCTTTTCTCTTCCAAAGAGGTAACATCTGGGTGGGAAAATCCTATCGTTTGAGACTAGCTCCCTGACACAGACAATAATTCTGACACTTTCTGATGCTTTGTAAGTCTGCGGAGCTAAATTCCATCCCCGAGAGCAAGTCCTTCTTTGGGCTGGGTGTTCCTGGTCTCGGGCTCCCTAGCCCACCTCTCTGGGGTGCTTATGGGTTAAAAGGTTGACAGAGGAGCTCTAGGTGGGGTGTGTGGAGAGTCAGCGGGGAGGCCCAGCCCCGACCCCCCATAATCGCACCCCTGACCCTGTGCCATGCAGCGTTCATGTAAGCACCTCGTGCCTCTAGCTGGAAAGCCTGGGTGCTTGAGTGTATATTGTTTGGAAAGTTTCTTTAAAGAAAACAAAAGCACTGAAACTACAGCTGAACCTATACTCACTGGCTGTTGTCTCTTTTTCCCCCTAATCAGGACAGAATTTTACCCTAAGGCAGTTAGGCGTGTGTGAACCAGCAACTCGAAGAGGACTGGCCTTTTGTGCGGAAATGGGGCTGCCCCACAGAGGTTACTCTCTCAGTGCAGGGTCCGACGCCGACACCGAGAACGAAGCCGTGATGTCCCCGGAGCACGCCATGCGGCTGTGGGGCCGGGGCGTCAAGTCCGGCCGCAGCTCCTGCCTGTCCAGCCGGTCCAACTCGGCCCTCACCCTCACCGACACGGAGCACGAGAACAAGTCGGACAGCGAGAGCGGTGAGTCCACCTTTGGCTTTGTGATGTCGGCCTTCAGGGCTTCGGTGTTGTTGGACGACGGCGGCTTGTTCTTCTTCCTCTCTTCTTCCCTCCTGTCCTGCCTTCTCTTTCTTCCTTCTGCCTTTCTTTTGTTTTTAAGGCAGTAGAACTTGAGAAATGACCTTGAAGAATGCTTTTTTTTTTCCTGGAAAAAAAAGATCACTATTCGAAATGAGATTGTTCAATTACGCAAGGGGTCTATGATGTGTTCGTTCGCTATCGTTTTTGAAAAACAGTTTAATCATGTACAGAAGAAAAAAAAACAGAAAGATTAGCTTTGACTTATCTTGGACCATGTCACCTATTATCCTCTGTAGGGCCTCAAAGCCAGAGGTGATAAAGTTTACCCCAGAGCCAGCTGGCAATCAAACATGTCTTTGTAGATGCCTCTTGAAGACATCTCAAAGAAGTTGCAGAATCTTAGGATGGATGAGTGAGCACACAGAATAGTTTATTACCCGGGCTCCAGTGTCTGAAGAACAAATTTGATCATGCTTCAAACTTACTAGTTGATGAGAGCAATTGAAATCTGGGGGAAGGGGGGAGCGTGGCCTTTGATGTGCTTTGGGGGCTGGATTACGATGCAATTAAATCCACGCACAAAATTGGATTTCAGGCTCTCCCAACAGCAGCTGTGCATGTGGGAAGGAAAAATGCCTTTAGAAAGTACGGGGGCTTTTTTTCTGAGCGCCCAGTGCAGGAGAGTAGAACGGTTGACGTATATGCGATAACAGGTTTCAAGGAAAACTTAATTTCAGTCGGTGCCGCTTCTAGGACGAGCCGGCGTCTCTCCTCGTCGGCAGAGTCCTTGCCCGTTCGGTCCGGCTGTGAATGTTCCGTGTGTATCGTGCATCAGAAAGCAGAGAGAAAATCACAATGAAGGACTAGCGTGCCCTTTGAAAAGAAGGACCACTGTTTTGCCATTGATCTTTCATTTTTGTGATTTGCTGAGCCAATTTGGCAGCTTTGCTTCGTGATAGGAAAGCAGGCGTGTGGTCGTTTCCGCTCCAGCTCGGGGACAGTGTGAGGTGGTGCCCGGCCCTTTTCCCTCCTCAGCCTCAGCATCTTCTTTCCGGTCATGAAACTACAGTGTAGTGTCAGCCGGCTTCAGTAGTGTCTTATGTGGAATCCCTTAGCGCATTAGACCAACGTCAAGATCAGTTAACCATGCGCACTCACCCCATTCATGTTGGAACTGTCAGCTTTGGGTGGAGACTGGCTTTATTCCAACCCCAAAGAGAACACAGGGGCGGCGCTTGCCGACAGCCTGCATTTCCCCGGCCAATCCATTCACCTCGGGAAAACCAGGTTTCTATCCATGTTCACTGTGGACTCAGAAGTCACTCGCCGTAAATACATGCGAGTTGGCATCACCTGTGCTTCCTGTCGGCCTGCGTCTGCCCATAACAGTCCTTGAGCGATCGCAGGTACAATGCTTAGATTCAAATGTGGCTTTTGGCTTTTGATTTCCTGAAATGCACGATAACATGTATGATGGTTGTAGGAAGAGCAGGACACGGGAGGCTGACGCACGCGGGGCTGATTCTCCGCATCACAGGCGCCCGTCTCCGCGTCCGTTGGGTATTTTTCCACGTTGGGTCAGCTTGCCTTTCCTACCTGCAGCCTCCGGAGCATCACTCTCTCTCTCCCTATAAGTGTACCTGTTATGGTATCTGCGCTGGTAAAATAGAAATTAATGTTGTTGTTTTTAAAAATGATGTATCTGCAAAAACTATCTTGCAGTGAATTCCCAAACACATGCCATATTTTTTCTTTGCAGAAAATATAAAACTGCCAACTGTGCAAACTTCAGTTACCAGTGTGTGTACCCTGATGACTGAGAAGTGAGGGGAGACTCGGGAGCGCCCCGCACCCTGGCCCTCCCCACGGCCGGATTATTATTACTCGGAGGAGGACCCCGCTCCCAGGACTCGCAGGCCGTGCTCTGGGAGCGCAGTGCAGGCAGGAGGAGCCGTGCCCTCGCAGGGCTCCAGGTTGCTAGGAGGCAGGAGATGCAGAGGAGGGTGCCATGGGCCTCTCTCTGAAATGCAGAGCCTTTGGCAGCTTTTGTGGAGAGTAAACAGGTCGCTAAGGGAAGAGGATCAAGTGTCAGAAACGATGTGTGTTGAGTTGGGCAGTGATGACTTGCGCCTGTGTGTACTCTTTTCCCGAGGTTTGGCGGTGGTTGTTTGTTAAACATTTTGATGGTCTAAGAACTCCTAACAACAGAGGTCAGCTTAGGGAAGAAAACAAAAGAGGAAATGCAGTAGATACCGCCGCTTCGCCTGCTGCTGTGCCACAGATTTCAGATGTGTGTCCCCGGGAACATTTCAGATTAATTTATTTGTCCTGAGTTCCCAGTGACTAGTCGGGAGGAACAAGATTCCATTTAAAGTAATTAATTACGTTAAGATCTGGGGAAGCATCCTTTTCTGAGGTGTTTAGTGGAGCTTGGAATTTTGAATTATGGAATTAAACAAGAGTATTTAGGATTTTTTTTTTCTCATATTAAAAAAAAAACACGACTTTTTTATTTTTCTTCTCAGGCTGGCTTATGGTAAAAACTAAAAGTTGCAATCATACTCACGGTCTTCTCACAGCTTTATAAAACAACTAGAGGCCCAGTGCACGAATCGTGCATGGGTAGAGTCCCTAGGCCTGGCTGGCAATCAGGGCTGATGGGGGCCTTCCGGATGTCGGCCAGGGCCTTCCATAGTTCCATGCCGCCCCCAGCTGGTCAGCGCACATCATAGCAAGCAATCGAACTCCCAGTCTCCCGGTCAAACTCCCGAGGGGACACTTTGCATAGTAGCCTTTTATATAGAGAGATATCCTCAGCATTATTTCATACAGTGTTTTAGCATCACTGCTCCTTCTCATCAAATATTTCCAACCTAAAATTACTATATACAATCCAGTTCTATCCTCCTCGGGTATGTCCATTGGTCCGGCTTTGAAAAACGATTCATTTTCCAGTTCCATTTGCCTTTGGCTTCCAGTTACTGTCATCGTTACGTTGTGTCCTTGAAAGTCCTGTGACGTCACTAAAGTTGAAAGGGGAAGGCCTTGTGCAGGCCACCCTACCAAAAGGAGAGGAATTTGGGAACCAGACACAAACTTGTTTTCATTCTGTTGAGCCTGGGAGTTTGCTGGACTGTGTTCATCATTTGAAATAACCGTGAATAAGGCTATTTTCCCCAGGAAAAAAAAATGTTATTCAACATTTGTAAAATTATGCAAGCCGAGTGCCGGATGTTCTAGTTATAACTTCAAAGAAGAGTTTAGCGACTAACAGGGATTAAATTTCACTTATTTATTGATAAGGAGGCCACCAGTTCAAGTGAAGACGGCGCTGGGGCTGCTGGGAGGCTAATGAAATTTTGATGGTCTGCGCATCCCCCGAGAGTGGAAGAACATTCAGGCTGTGTCACACGTCTCCGTGTTAGTAGAGATTCGAAAACAAGCGATAACATTTATAATTTCACAAAGCTAACTCTTCCCCAACCATGGGGGTTTGAAATTAGAAAGCATGTTGAGGAGGCAAAATTTTTCCAGTGTATTGAGTTTTATATGGAATTCCAAGTGTTAATTTTGTTCTAAAGTAAGGATATGAAGCCCGTCCTTTCTTGACACAGACTGATGGCCGTGGTTGTCTTTGTCCTGAGACACTGCCAGGCGCCAGGGCCAACACGGGAGGGCCCGTGGTTGGTGACCACCCAGTGGCAGCGGTCCTAGAGAGCTGCTGCAAGGTTATGGCATAGCTGAGGGCAGGCCCTACTCCAGGGTAGACCAGCAGGCTGCTCTGGGTTGGTGCAGGCGTCTTACCTCCTCAGATGTATTGCTGCAACACCCCTGATTGATGTGGCCAGCTTTGCAAGTAACCTGGCCTCGGTTCCCACTGTCTCCATAGATGCCGGGAACGAAGAACTTTTTTCTAGAACGTCCACCTTTAAGCTTTAGAAATGTCAGCTTGTGCATCTTTTCCCAGAAGAACCCCAGCATATATTGGCGTCTTCTGTCACCTCCCAGTGTGGTGTCACGAAGATGCCTGGGTTGGGATCTCGCCAGTTGGGGTTAAATCTTTTCTTTAACTCCTGGCTCTTTGTTTCTGAATCACCCCAAGGTCAAGTTCCCAAATTCCCATCTCTGCCTGGTTGTACCTTGAGTTCTAGAGATGCATGCCCTCCCGCTGCAGGGATTCCTCTTTCTCCTCCTCCTCCTCCTCCCTGTCTCCAGCCTCCTCCCCGCACTGGGGAAGTGATGACCGTGAGGTCAGACAGACCCGGAGAAGGACTGGCACTCCTCTGGTACCTCATGGTGATTCAGGACCTCGAGAGCCTCCACTGGGGGCCAGTGTTGAGAATGTCACCTTGTAGTGGGCAGACCGCCTGGGTTGGCCTTGGTTTCCCGCCTCCTGGCTGTGTGACCTTGGGCAAGTTATTTAACCTCCCTGTGCTATGGTTTCCATAGGGCTAAAATAGAGACTGTGGTAAACAGTATATAGTCCTTACTGCTTGTTGTGAGGATTCATTGAGTTCAGGTACTTAACATGCTCAGAGCAGAGCCTGGCGTTGGATGAATTACAGATTAAGTGTGTGGTCCCAGTATTTATAAAAGCTGGAAAATTACTGTTATGTTTTAAAATATATTTTTATCGATTTCAGAGAGGAAAGGAGAGGGAGAGAGAAAGAGAATCATTGATGAGTGAGAATCATTGATCGGCTACCTCCTGCATGCCCCACACTGGGGATGGAGCCCGAAACCCCGGGCATGTGCTCTGTCCAAGAATCAAACTATGATGTCCTGGTTCATAGGTCGATGCTCAACCACTGAGCCACACCGGCCAGGCTGGGAAATTATATCTCCATAGTAAATGGTGATGAAGTTTAAGTTAGATAAAGAATGTCAGGTACCTACACAGTTCTGGCCCACAGGAAATGCCCCCCCACCTCTCCCATACT